CTTTAACAGATTCGTGGAGGATGTTCGTGTATTGCAGAGTATGTGGAATAGGCTGGGCCAGAACTAACTTAACAAATGCATAAACGATTTTGATTCCAGATGCACTTACTATACTGCAGTACAATCGCAGGACTGTGGTACAATCACACCGTCAGTACTTATGACCACAGGGGGAGATACTTTTCCGTGTCTCTAGCCTGTCATACTAAACTTTCGTATCCAACTAGAGCAGTCACCCACATTCAGAATTTTCAGTTGCGAAAATGTTGACCGAAATTAAGTGTACACGTGGGTAGATACGGTAGTATCCATAACCGTGCCTTAATTAATTACCTTAATTTTGGTGTTTACCCCATTGTTTGAATTATTAATTGCAGATAAATATGTCTTTGGTAGTTGATATATTTATGATATTCCATGATAGGTAAGTGACAACCACGCGTGTTTGGAACAGCTTCAAACATGTGACCGTGACCTTGTTGTATTGTGATCGCCTACTTTGTTTATATACGAGAAAATATACAGAGATTGCCAGTTGCCCTTAAAATATAATGCATTCTTACATTTATATGTAAACTATTTATTTACTACTTTGTAAAAGACTTTTTTTTACTGTTATTTTTTTTTCTGTTATACTTTTATTTTTTGTTGTATTTTTTGTATTTTAAATATATATTTTCTGTATCTTTTAATCTTTATTGTATGTTAGTTCAGATCTCAATGGAGATAGGTTGACAATAAAGTTATCATTATTATTACGAAATACGCTTACCGGGGAGAGGGTATTCTTGACCAACATATTTAATGAAGGGGACTCTCTATTCCGTACAAAACATTTTATTAAATGTCTAAAGCAATGTTTGGGTATATACAGTGGCTGTGGCACGTGGGAAGGGCACGAAACATGTTAGGGGGGGGGGGCTTCGCCCCTTTAAAATCAAGCTGAAACCTTTTGTGTCAGCAAAATTTGCAGAGGATCTAGATTTCAATTTATTTAAGGGGGAGCATGCCCCGGGACCCCCTAGTAAGATCGCGCCTTGGGCGTGAGGTTGATGAGCAGATCTCGCCCCCTGTAAAATTTCGTGCCGCCACCTCTGGTATATTGCGAATCTTACCACTGAGCTGAACATATGTATTGTGTCTGAATACCCAAGACCTACTAAATTACGATTCTAAATTACGCGTCATTAGAAATATTCAAACATAGATGGCACAGACTTTCAGTAATGATGCGAGTTTATGTCACAGAGGCTTGTCGGTTCATTGCGAAGACCCTACAATAAGAGGTTTTGTAGTTAGTTGACAAATTCGTGGTTCAGGCCTGGAAAGCGTGTGTCAAAATCACTTCTCAATATAAAAGCAACCGTAACTCTATGTAACCGCATGGTGGCGCCCTTTAATAAAACAAATTGCCTTACTCACAAATAAAACATTCCCAAGTATCATAGTCATTTACATCTCCAAGTGTGATGGCTTATACGAAATCGTGAATGTATGATTTAAATAAACGTTTTGTCGTTATTAGTAGCTCAATATGCAAGTTGTTGCCATTGAGTATTTGAAAATATCATCTCTATTATATTAAATTGTAAAAAAACAACAAAAAAAAAACGTTTTTTTTTTCTAAAAAATAGTCTTTTATAGTCGTTTATAGTCTGCAATTTCCTTTATTAGATTGAGACAAACATATACAATTTCTTGGAGTAAATATTCCCGTTTATAGTCTGCACTTTTCTTCAGACGATTGGGACAAAAACACCCACATTTTTTGAGTAAAAAACAAAAATTTACTCAAATTTTGTCTGTTGGCTCAAGAATTTGGATACATTTCTTGTAATATTGAAGAATATAAATAAAAATGCAGAAAAAAAGTTTAGTCCTGAAAAGGTTAACACTTTCAGTCACGCGAATGACCTATAGTATTCTGGACTAAATGAGTCGAGTCTAGATGCCCACAATGATTTGTCGTCCGAAGACCATTTCGAATATATCGTTAATTATACCAACACATGTGGCAGGAATTGAAAGAAATATTGTGGGTAATTGTCGGTTGTAAAAAAGAAATGATTTTTGGCGATTTGAAAACAAGAAATGTCAGCTTTATCACGTGCCTCCCCCTTCAGCCCGGAAAAAAAAGACAATTCAACTGACTAACTGAGCCGGAGGTCTACTTTGGCCACGTCAATAAAAGCGCCCTCTACCGAATTTCTGGATCCACCAGTGTTTATAACAGGTCGTGATCACTCCTGATTCACACATAATATTTGGTCAAAAATTTGTTTTGACAAACACTTCGTTCATCCAAAGACACTAGAAAATACATCGAAACACTGGCTGATTTGTTGCAATTCCATGTTAAAGTTGGTTAATTTGTTGCAATTCCATGTTAAAGTTGGTTAATTTGTTGCAATTCTATGTTCAAGTTGGTTAATTTGTTGCAATTCCATGATCAAGTTGGTCAATTTGTTGCAATTCTATGTTCAAGTTGGTTAATTTGTTGCAATTCCATGTTCAAGTTGGTCAATTTGTTGCAATACGATGTTCAAGTTGGTTAATTTGTTGCAATTCCATGTTCAAGTTGGTTAATTTGTTGCAATTCCATGTTAAAGTTGGTTAATTTGTTGCAATTCTATGTTCAAGTTGGTTAATTTGTTGCAATTCCATGATCAAGTTGGTTAATTTGTTGTAATTCCTTGTTCAAGTTGGTTAATTTGTTGCAATTCCATGTTCAAGTTGGTTAATTTGTGCAACTCCAAGTTCAAGTTGGTTAATTTGTTGCAATACGATGTTCAAGTTGGTTAATTTGTTGCAATTCCATGTTCAAGTTGGTTAATTTGTTGCAATTCCATGTTCAAGTTGGTTAATTTGTTGCAATTCCATGTTCAAGTTGGTTAATTTGTTGCAATCCCATGTTCAAGTTGGTTAATTTGTGCAACTCCAAGTTCAAGCTGGTTAATTTGTTGCAATACGATGTTCAAGTTGGTTAATTTGTTGCAATTCTTTGTTCAAGTTGGTTAATTTGTTGCAATTCCATGTTCAAGTTGGTTAATTTGTTGCAACTCCATGTTCAAGTTGGTTAATTTGTTGCAATTCCATGTTCAAGTTGGTTAATTTGTCGCAATACGATGTTCAAGTTGGTTAATTTGTTGCAATTCCATGTTCAAGTTGGTTAATTTGTTGCAATTCCATGTTCAAGTTGGTTAATTTGTTGCAATTCCATGTTCAAGTTGGTTAATTTGTTGCAATTCCATGTTCAAG